CCCCTGCGGAAAGGCTGAGCCACCAATTCCTGAGCCGAGCCGAGCTGAGCAGGGGACAGGCCCCCCTCCCTGCCAAGCCCTGCGGCCCCGCGTTGGCCGAGAGGGAGGCTGCCACGCAGAGCGCAGCTAGCCCGGGGCAGGCAATCCGTTTGGACCAGGGGCCACTTCACAAATTTTTGAAGTGGCCCCAGGCTGCTGGAAGGGGCGGGGCCTCAGTTAGAAGGGGCGGGGCCAGGACACTTCTGCGCTTCCCCACCCACAGACCCTGATTGGCCCGGGGGGGGGGGGAGCGGCAGGGCCTCTGCAGGCCAGGTCAACCCACTTGGCGGGCCAGATGCAGCCCGCAAAGACCCTTTGGTCCACCCCCGAGTTAACCCCTTCGCTGCCATCGGCAAGGCCCCTCCCCACCCCCCGAACCAGCCTCTTCTCCGCTACTTCCTTCCTTCACAGCACCCCGCTCCCCCAGCCCCTCGTCTGGACGACACCCTAAGTCACCTCCGTGCCGCGCCGCCGGGCAGGTGCCCCAGGAAAGCCCCACGCTGGCATTTTTGGACCAACAACAACAAAAAGTTGGGGTTTCGGTTCCAAGTGGCTTTTCATTTTGAAACTGCGGCTCGTTGCTAGTGAAAAGCGCCCAGAAGCCTCCCCCTCAAGCCAGCTCTTCAACTGACTCCATTCCACTGGCCCCAAATGGGGCAGGTTTCCAAGAACTCAGAACCCAGGCAGGAGAAAACACCCCAAGCCTGGTGAGAACGGAGGGGGCAGAAAAGCCCTGGTCCCTCTGCTCTTGCAAGGAGTTCGCTGGCTTGCAGGCAGTGATTTTCCACCGCTTTCATTTCTGGCCCCTCCACATGTTCCGGGGCATGGGGGCCCCTTTGGCCATCGGTGTGCAGACCCCCGCGGACACAGACCCCGGGTTGAAACCGTGGAGCTGAAGGAGCCTTTCGCTTCCGGCAGGAGCAGCTCCGGAGTTTAGATCCAGGGATCAGGGCCCGTTAGGAGCCAGGCTCGGGACGTCCCTGGGTGGGAGACTGGTGCCGAGGAGCATAGAGGTGCCGGTAGGATCATGGGTGGGGCCTAGGCTTGGCTGCGACTCGTTCATCTCCTGCGATCCTGTCCACTCAAAGCCTCGCCCTGTCGCACGAGCCTGCCAGCCCCACACCCCGCATCTCACACCAGCCCGGGAGGCCGTTCAGCGCCTCTCAGGAACATATGGGCAATGGAGGGAGGGAGGACCAGCTGAGGGCTTGTTTTGGGCCCCCTACTACTGAGCCACAAGCGGGGGGCTAAGGGGGTGCTGCTGCCCTTGGCAAAGCAGCAAACATTGCTCACTGCTGGGGGGAGGTGCAGGGACACCCCCGCCCCCCTGCACTGGGTTTGCACTAGCAGGCATTCCTCTCTCCAGGCTGCGGAGTCCCCGGCGGCCTGCCCGGAGCTGGGTTGGGGGGAGGCTGGCTCGGCTGCAGTCCAGGCGCCAGTTCTCTGGCCCAAGGGGGTGGGCGAGCGCAGGGGTTTCCAGGGAGAGGGAGACGGAGGAATTGGCCGGAGGTTGGCTCCCGTCCACCCACCTCACAATTCCGACTCCAGGGGGGTCGCTCCCGTCCGTCACACAGGGACGGCCACACTGGACATTCGATCCAGAGCCTGGCACTTCCTAGGCTGGGTGGCTCCGCTGCGACCGAACCCGGCAAGGGGGTGGGCGAGCGCAGGGGTTTCCAGGGAGAGGGAGACGGAGGAATTGGCCGGAGGTTGGCTCCCGTCCACCCACCTCACAATTCCGACTCCAGGGGGGTCGCTCCCGTCCGTCACACAGGGACGGCCACACTGGACATTCGATCCAGAGCCTGGCACTTCCTAGGCTGGGTGGCTCCGCTGCGACCGAACCCGGGAATCGCTGCAGATCCAACACCGATTGGAGGGAATCGCCCCCTCCCCCTGCCCCCCACAGGCCTACCCCTGCCGCTCCTGCCACACAACCACGCCTGCTACGCAAGTCCTAACCCCCATAGAGCAGACACGTGTCCCCCTGCACCTGCCTGGAGCCAGTGACTAGAATCCTAGAACCAGCAGGGCCCTCGAGAGCCCAGTCCCGGCCCTCCTGGCAGGACCCAGCACCGTCCAGTCGATCCCTGACAGGCGTCTGTCCAACCTGCTCGTAAATATCTCCAGCGATGGAGATTCCACAGCCTCCCTAGGCAATTGATTCCAGTGTTTCATCACCCTGACAGGCAGGAAGTTTTTCCTAATGTCCAACCTAAACCTCCCTTGCTGCAGTTTAAGCCCCTTGCTGCTTGTCCTGTCCTCAGCGGCCAAGAAGAACAATTTTTCTTCCTCCTCCTTGTAACACCCTTGTAGGGTTGAAACCGCTCTCACGTCCCCTCTCCGCCTTCTCTTTTCCAAACTAAACAAGCCCAATTCCTTCAGCCTTCCCGCATCGCTCCTGCTCTCTAGACCTTTCATCATTTTGGTTGCTCTTCTCTGGACCTTCTCCAATGTCTCCACATCAGTCCTGAAACGTGGCGCCCAGAACTGGACACAACACTCCAACTGAGACCTAACCAGCGCAGAGCAGAGCGGAAGAACAACTCCTCGTATCTTGCTCACCACACTCCTGCTAATGCAGAGACTTGGCTCATGGGCCAGCCTGAAAGCTGCTTCCATCGGTGGGGATGAAGCGGAGGGGGGGGGTCACATTGTGACCCCCCTGGGCAGCTCTCAGGGACCCTGCTGCGTCACTGGCATTGATCCCGCAGGAGAGCTGGGCGAGGGGATCCATGGAACTGAGGCAAACCTGGGTGGGGAGAAAGGGACCCCCCCAGGGACATTCCTCCAGGGCCCCCCAGGTCCACAAAGGGCACGATATAACCTGAGTCCCAGGCATGATCCACTGAAAGAAACCCCAGCAGCCCGGTTCATACAGGAACCTGGTAAACTGAGTCACAGGGGAGCCAGGCTGCGGGAAGGAAAGGGAGGGGCCTGTGACGGAGGGTCTGCAGTGCTCACCGGGCTTTATCGTGCTGCTCGGCGGCCAGGCTGATGGGACAGGCAGGGGAGGGGTCACGCCCGGCGGGAGCAGAACCCCTCTCGGGGTTTACAGACAGACGCAACAGCTGCTCCCGCCCCGGCGCGGGGGTAATCCCCCGAGCGCTG